GACAGTGATGAGCGCATCACTGTACTGCTTCTTCTTTCACTGTCCAGTCACAGGCTGGGGACAGGTTTAGGAGGACCTGGGCTCAGAGGTCGTGGGTTGAATGATGCTAGTGGCAGAAAAAAAGTACTTTTTGCTGTTAATACTTTTTGCTGTTTGCTGGGGACATTGAGATCTATACTGGTGACTGCTGGGGGCACTGATATTTATACTGGTGACTGATGGGGGCATTGAGATCTATACTAGTGCCACTTCCCGGCCCCGCCGCTACTATAGACCTCCGGTTCTCTTCCCTTGATGAATACATTTATCAAAGGGAGAGAACCACAGCAATTGCCGCTCTCAGGGAATCTGTCGCTCCAGGCAAACGCCTTGTTTGCCTCGCGGCAGATACGCCCCTGCTGGTGACTGCTGGGGGCATTGAGATATAGATTGGTGACTGCTGGGGCCATTGAGATCTGTACTGATGACTTATGGGGCCCTTGAGATCTATACTAGTAATTGCTGGGGCCAATGAGCTCTTTACTGGTGACTGCTTGGGGCATTGAGCTAAGGGTTGCTACCTGTTTGGGATTCAGATTGAGTCCTGTATGTGCTATGTCCAGGTTTCAGGCCAGCTGAAACCCGGACACAAGATGAAACGTCGTTAGGTGGACAGGAGCAACCACGGGGTCCTGGTGTTCCTAATCATATGTGTTACCAGACTCAAACAAGAGAGAATTAGAGACAATGTGGTTGATTTACTAAGCTTATAAACACACCACGAACGTGTATACACCTCTGCAGTGTGTTCCCTCCCAGCATGATCTATGGGTGGAATCTAAACACCTTTGTAATGTGTACACACCCAGCAGGTGTGTTGTGCAAAGCCCTGAAGGAATTCCAAGGTAATGTGGTATAAATTAGCTCTATGTTGTGTTGCTTGCGTTGATGAATGCAAGGAATGTAAATGCATGAGCTAACCATTTTTGTCTAAACTGTGAAGCAGCATTATATATGCATCATGTGCATGATTTTTCCATATATGGCATTAGTGGAAATATGCTTTGAGAGACTTTTTGGTTGATAAATACATTTTGCTGTGTGAAAATCACACACACCTGGTGTGTGTGTGTGTTTAGGTTAGTAAATCACCCCCAATAACTCTAGCTTCATGAGAAGTAAGGGCAGTTATCATTCGGCTATGTGTTGGCTCCTTCTCTTTTTTTCACTTTTTACAAGTAAGTTTAACACTTTGATAACATTTATAACATTAACATTTTTTTTTCTTTTCTTCAGGTACACAAATAAATGATTATTAATCTGCTTATTCACTATTGCGGATGCTCAACAAGCATACACAATTCAATATACTTCAATATATTCAAAACTCACACTACTAAAGGCATGTTGTGTTGTGCTGTTAGCAAAAATAGAAAACTAGTTCTAGCAAAAAAAAAGAGTTTTTCTTCGACATTTTGGATGTTTTGCACTAAAGCATTTTAATAAACATATTCCATTAAGGCCTCATTCACACGGCGTAGAGTGGAGTCGTACAGATCCGTGCTGCGTGCACGGCCGTATCGGGCCGTTCCCGGGAAGGACAGGTGCTGTGTGTGATTGTACGCAGCAGCCTGTTCTTCCCTATGAAAGAACAGGCTACGCTGTTGTCCGCTGACCCGAGCTGCACATCTGTGTGGGTGTCCTATGTTTTGTTTACACAATTATATACACACGTTCAAAACACTTGTGACACTTAAATACTCTTTCAGCAATGAAAAGCTAGATTAGACCTGGCTCACACTGAGCGTTTTGTAGCGCTTTTTCTGCCCTAAAAAAACACTCAAAAAATATCCTCCCCAAAAAATCCCCTTCATTTCTATGGCCCTGTTCACATCTGAGCGTTTTGTCGCAATAAGCAAAACGCCTGTTGCTGCAAAAAGTACAGGAGCTTTTTTGGGGCATATTACAACTCGTTTTGGCTCTATAGACTCAATAGGAAACACTTGAAAACTTGCATTTGCGGTGTTTTTGCGCGTTTTATGCTCGTTTGTTCATTAACATAACTGAGCTACAATCTGCTCACAAAATCGCACATTTTGAAATTTTTTTGCACATAAAAACGTGCATCAAAGCCGCACGCAAAATCGCTGTCGCCTAGGTGTGAACCCAGCCTTAAAGTAATCTCAGTTGCCATTGCTCTAAACCATAAGTATCTTCTCTCTTTTACCTCTTGAATGCTGCATGGCTGCTTACTGACATTTCACAATAATAGTGGCACACCTCTTATTTTTTGCTTTTAACTGAACATACACCATTGATAAACATTATGGAGGGAATTTATCAAAACTGGAGCAGACAAAAACTGGAGAAGCTGTGCATGGCAACCAATCAGCTTCTCTCTTCCGTTTGTTCAGTTAAGATTTGAAAAAGGAGAGAAGCTGATTGGTTGCCATGCACAGCTGCTCCAGTGTTTGAGTTTTTGTCTGCTCCCCGTTATGATAAATTCCCCTTGATGAGTCTCTTACATATCAGTTTTACCTATAGAATGATGAGACACAAGCAGGCCCGGCGCTAGCGCAAGGCAAGTAAGGCGGGCGCCTTACGGCGCTGCAGGGTGAGGGCGGAAAAAACAGGGCATTTTGACAAGTACTCGTACTTGTCAAAATGCCCCGATGTTTGCGCTATGTTTTTTTATTGTTTTGTACTTACCTTCGGTGCGGGAGAGCAGCGGCGAGTCAGCGCTGGTCCAGTGGGAGGAGCTCCAGGTGGGGTCCTAATTTAGCTGGCCGGCGACTGCCTGAGGATCCCGACACGCGCGGCACCTCAGGCAGTCGCCGGCTAGCTAAATTAGGACTCCACCTGGAGCTCCTCCCACCAGACCAGCGCTGACTCACCGCTGCTCTCTGCACCGAAGGTAAGTGAAAAAAAAAAAAAAACCATAGCGCAAACATCGGGGCATTTTGACAAGTACAATACTTGTCAAAATGCCCTGTTTTTACAGGGGGTGAGGGGTCGGGATCGGGGGAGGCGCAAAATTGCACCTTGCCCACCTTGACTACAATCCTAGCACCGGCCCTGGACACAAGAGCAGTCATCATCCGGCCATGTGCTGGCTCCTTCTCTTATTTTATTTTCACTTTTGGCCAGAACTTCTCTTCCCCTCTCATTACAGCATCATGCGCTACCTACAGGCTGCTTACAGAACACCAAAACTTAAACCTAAAGTGACAATCATGTAGCATTAAAGTCTCAATATTTTTTGCACATACAGGTGAAACTCGAATAATTAGAATATTGTGCAAAAGTTCATTTATTTCACTAATGCAACTTAAAAGGTGAAAGTAATATATGAGATTCTGAGATTGTGGATTTGGGGTTTTCATGAGCTGTAAGCCATAATCATCACAAATATGACAAATCACGGCTTGAACTATCTTGCTTTGCATGTAATGAGTCTATCTCGTATATTAGTTTCACCTTTTAAGTTGCATTAGTGAAATAAATGAACTTTTGCACGATATTCTAATTATTCGAGTTTCACCTGTATCTACTGCTAGTAAGCACTAAATGTATACTGCAACATAAAAAAAAGTGCCCAAATATGAAATACCTGTGTCTGCGCCGCTCGCTCCTGGCTACTGTAGACAGATCCGAACGGCCGTGCAGGAGAATGATGTGGCGCTGGCACATGCGCAGTCCGTGTCACCAGTGGGGAGAGGAGAAGAGACACTGGGGGGAATTTATCAAAACTGGAGCAGACCGAATCTGGAGCAGTTGCCCAGGGCAACCAATCAGCTTCTCTCTTCAGTTTGTTCAGTTAAGATTTGAAAATGAAAGAGAGAATCTGATTGGTTGCCATGCACAGCTGCTTCAGATTTTTTCTGCTCCAGTTTTGATAAATTCCCTTCACTGTGTCAGTGAATGCACGCAGGCAGGAGTGTGCATGGCGGACATACTCCGTGGGACACAGACGTCTGCGCTGGATCAGAGACCGATACCAGCGCTGGAGTGATTGCTGAAAATGGGTGGAAGGAAGAAGATGATCGCAGCCAGAGGCTTCATATAAGGTAAGTATTTACAGCAAAATTACAATGGGGGGGATTGACTTTAATGTCACTTGGATTCGTATTCATAATATTACTTAGCATGCAACAGGAGTAACACACAAAAACTCCCAGGAAGACAGGAGCAGAGTCAGGAATTATGTCAGGGAGATCTCACTGTGGGAGTGTACCAGGACATATGAAAAGCCAGAGGCTCACTTAGCCCACTAGGCACAACCTATCACTAAAATATCACTTTTGGGTGGACTGACCATTTAAGGCTTAATGTATCTAGGAGTGACCCCAAAACATGATGTGTGGCACCTACTTCCTGGGCAGTCAAACCTCCTAATTATCCCTCCTGTTCGCTACACTTTTGGGAGATTTTTAGGAGAGGCAGCAATGTTATTCTCCCCAGTAAGGACACAGACAGCAAAAAAAAAAAACGATGAAAATAGTGTTTAGTAGCTCCCCTTTAAGAGCAGTTGCCCTTAAAGCTAAACTCTGGGCACAAAAACTTTTATTTAAATATATTCCTCGGTATCATATAAATCCATTTTGTGTGCACCAAATGCCTTTAGAACCCCACATATTACCTTGTTAAAGATGATGTCACTATGTGCAGCACAGTGACATCATCACTGTGCTGCACATAGCTTGTGCAGAGAGAAGATCAGTGGGAGGGGCCCAGCAGGTCCCACCCACTACAGGAGGGGGCGGGGACAAGACCAGTCACCCTGCACAAGGAGAGACAGCAGCAGTGACCGGTCTTTATCACAGGAAGCTCCTGCACAGAGGCACGTTGGATTACTGCATAGATCTTGAAGAAGAAATACACAAAGCACCCCATGATTCAAGTAAGAACACACCACTCTTGTATTTAGAAAATATTACTGATCCCAAGTTCAGCTTTAAAGTCTCAGCCTGGTGTTATGAAGGAGATTTGAGAAAATTGTAGCCATTGTTGCACCATGTTGTAGTGAAGGTTGGGTGGCGGTTCTGTTTACTTTCACAGTACCGCTACGTTGTAGCCTCTAGGAAAGGTAGACAGAAAACAAGTGCATGTTGTGGCCCTCAGACGGGGCTCCGCGGACGTACTCACAGACCTCCGAGAACACACAGTACTTGAGGAACACGCGGTGCTTGCCCAGCGTGCCGTGGTTGACGTCGCGGCTCAGGATATAGATGCCGTCGTTGTGCAGAGTACAGCAGATACTCAGCCCCGATTTGGAGGTGTTCACTTTGAGGCAGGTGAACTCTTTGGTCCGAGTGTCATAGGAGTGTATGCTCAATGAGTCCTCGCTCTGTCCGGACTGACCATCCCGTATGAATCCGCCCACCGAGTACAAAGTCTCCTCAATGGACACCATCTGCTGCTTCCGGATGTGATGGCGCCAAATATCAACCTCCGTCCACTGGTCGGCCGCCGGGCAGTACCGCAACACCTTTAGGTTACGTCCTGGGGAGAGGAAAGACGGACAGGAATGATGGCTCATCATAAACAACAGTCTAGTGTAACACTTAAAGGGTATATCACTCCTAACAATGAGATTCTCTTATTTGCTCCCTTTTGGTCTGTTAAGTATACCAATAAAAGCATTTTGTGAGTGCACAAAAGTACCTGTTGATCCTGCCAGAAATCTTGTGAGCTGATGACTTCCTGTGCAGGGGCAGACTGAGGCTGGGGGGCCCCTGTGAGATTTGGTGCCGACCTCCCCTCATCGGAGGAGCCATGGTCTGGCACTTAACATTTTTAAATAGATGCAACTGCTGTATGGTCCTGCGCTTGCCGGGGACCTCGCAGCAGCCTTCTGGGGAACCACATGGAGCCTGTTTACAGTGCCGGCCTACACATTTCCCCTGCTGAGACCCGCCGCATCTGCCCCTGCTGAGACCCTCCGCATCTGCCCCTGCTGAGACCCTCCGCATCTGCCCCTGCTGAGACCCTCCGCATCTGCCCCTGCTGAGACCCTCTGCCCAAGACATCAGGCTGGCACCCCAGAGCACAATGGCAGCACAGAGTATGTAGCAAATTCATATACTATTCTGCATTGTGGTATAATGTAATGCTGGGATTTGTAGTCCTCTATAGCCGGTACCATTCTGCACAGCTGTATAATGTACTGCTGGGATTTGTAGTATTCTATAGCTGGTGATATTCTGCATTGCTGTATAATGTTTTGCTGGGATTTGTAGTCCTCTACAGCTTGGAGTCAGTGGCAGAACTACCAAGATCGCAGGGGTGGCAGCTGAGACCATGCCCTGGTGCTTCACCACTGTCCTAAAAGCATTAGTCGGCATTGTTTTAGGAAAAAAATGTCACATGACACTAAAAAAAAAAATCAGGAATTGGTATCAGCGAGTACTTGAGAAGAAGTATCGGTACTCGGTCTGGAAAAAATGATATCGGTTTATCCCTAGAACAGTATGTGGCTGTGGGGGGACATTCGGGTGTAAGCTCTTCTAATGCAGAGACCAGAGGCGGCCCGAGGCTGGGGGAAGGGGGGGGTGCCCAATTATACTGTTGCTGTAAATCGTGGCATGTCAGCGATTTATTCATACTGAAAGTTCCAATTTAATCTTAAAATAATATCGTACTCACCTCGTGGGGTGTAACCCCCGACCACATAGATCTTCCCCAGGCTCTCACAAGCTGAGAACTCCACCAGGGGGTCTGGAAGGGGGGCTGCCAGGTTCCATGTGTTTTGTGCAGGATTGAAGGTCTCCATGGTCTGTAAGGACTGGCCACCAACAGCGTAGAGAGACCCGCCCACTGCGAGGAGACGGAAATTGTACCTAAAGAGAATAATGGACCCAAAAATGGTAGTAAACAAGTTACTTGTAGTAAAATGTAAAAACAGAACCATAGACAACAAACAAAACACCATTTCATCCACTTATGCACTCATTATAACTTCATGAAATGTACTTTGATGCATCCCGATGGAGACTAAAGTTGGTTGTAAAATGCAGCACGACGTAGCATTGTGCAGCTCACATTGGCGCTTCATATCACATCCAGTAAAATGGAAATCGTTTCATTTGCATTGCCGTTACATTTTGCGTAAACAATGGTAAACTATACGGGAACAGAGGCAGTATGAATGGACGCAAATGTTATACAAGCCAAAGGGAAAGCTGCAGCGTTTCCCACAAAATGAGATTAAAAGCACCCATGGGGATTTGGTAAAACAAAAATCTAGAGTCATTGTCAACTACTGAATTGTTTTCTTTACATGAGTCCCTGGACGCCCTTTTATGGGCATGAGGAATTATCCCAAGGAAGCCCCGGGATATAAATGTTTGCAAAACTCCCATCCTAAGAGCACCAAATAAGGTGAGTAGGACAAATACAGAGACACTTCCTATCCATACAGGAGCGGTGAGCCACCATTTAACCCTTTCATTCCCAGAGCTCCAAACTGCATCCTTAACAGATACAGTTTGAAGAGGGCTGCAGCTAAAAGAAAAATGTTACCCAAGTACCAAACTCCATGCAGACAGATGAGACACATAAATGCAGCTGTGTAATCAATACATAAATTGATTCATTTTTTATTTATGCAAGCAGTGTAAGTACCTGATTTTGACCTGGTGTGAGCCTCTCACAGTGTCTGTGCAGCAGGGCCCAGACTGGAAGAGGGAGAATCAGCACAAGGAGCCAATCGCTTGTGCTGCAGCTCTCAGAGTGAAAGAGAGATGAGCTCATCAGTCTGCTGCTTCTCCTTTCACTGTTCAGCCTCAAGCTGGGGAAGGGACAAGACCTGTAAATGCTACTGAGCTGCAGTAGAGAAAAATCAGGTCTCTAGAGTGCCAGACAGGGCTGTGATGTGTGGTAGAGCTGTGTAAATCTCCGGACTGGATGGACAGAAATACAAATCCTATGGCAGCTAAAACAGCTCCTGTATATGTATTTCCTCTGTGTATTTAGCTCTTTGCCTGGAGCTCAGCTTTAAGCATAGGAGCAACTGACAACCTCCACAACTATCACATCTATGTCACAAATATCACATGGTGTTATGGGTGTTTTTTAACAGAATGCTATACCCACCTTCAGGTATAACATGGTGGTTAGGCATGGAGGGATGATCAAACCTTTCATGCAATATTTTATGCCCAGGTATCCACCGCCAGCACCCTTCTTATTTTGGTGGCTACGGTAGTGTTTGGCTGGTAAAATACATTCATCAAAAACGATCAGGCTGGTTTCTGGATTGTGGCTGTTCCACAATTTTTCCCCGTACATTACCGATGGTAACCATCTCAGGCCTCCATGTAATCTTACACTGGCCCTGTGCAAATGAATAGCCAATGTGTGGCCAACAAGCAGCCAGCGACGTCCTTGAATCACCAGGCATACTAGAACTTCGATCATAATGGTTGGTGTGGCCTTTACCTGGTTCCTAAATTTTATAACAGTGTGTATAAGACCTCAGTGTGAGCAACAGACATCAAAGGATAACTTACGCCAACCGACCCCCTTGATAGTAAAGGACTAAAGCCCCACATAAGATGGTCTGAAAGCCAATGGTTAAACCAAGTTTCTCCTCTCTCTTTAGAGCCGTTTGGGCAGGAGCTTCTACATGACATTTCATGATATGGAATAAGAATGTCTCACCAGAGATCCCATTGCTGGTGGCAAATTGCCCAATGCTAAGAGACTTCTTACCCACTCCTATGGTACCACCCTTCACTGCTTGAAATGTCCATGAACCTTGCTCAACAGTGAAGGAGTAAAGACTGGGCACCACCATGCTGGTGTGGCCAGTGAGGGATCAACACTGTAGGAAGGTGATTGTGCCCACTGTTCTCTCAGTGATTCTATAGCTGGCCTGTTGCCGCCAGCATCATAATTGCTTGTGTGACATGGGACTAATGGAGAACAGTCTTCCAAGGAGATGGCTCTCCATTGTACCCTATGGACAGAAAGCTACTCAACATGCCATTTATGCCTATGACACTTAGAGCAGAATGAGCATCTGACCTGAGGTCTGCGTGAGGCATATAAAATTGCTCTGGAGGCCAAAAGGGACCAAACAGTTCTAGTTATCTTTTAGATCCATCCACATTCTCAGTTGTGGATGGATGCCAGTCGTGGTGATTAACCCCTGGCCTCTTATATCTCTCAGGGGATTCCAGTAGCAAAATCCCTCCACTGGTGGTCCCAGCTCTGCCACCCCTCTATGGTTGGTACAAATGTCTCACTCCTTCTGCTGCAGTCTCAAACAAATTAAATGGAAGATCCAGCAGCAATATTCATGGAAGGTCCCCAGCAAGTGGCAGGACAGGGGAACTCATGCACTTTTTTTTCCACCAATTTCCCCTGAGATATAAGAAACTATTGGGGGATTAGACTCACCCACCCAAAATAAAATACCAGTTTTGGGTTAATTATGAAATTGAAGGAGGGGGTACCTTTTCTGGTTCATTGCGGGCTCTTCGGTCCAGAATCCAGTGCTGGGGTTATAGGAGTGGACAGCGCTCACCTCTTGACCATTCTCACGGGTCCCTCCAGCCACGAAGAGATAGTTGTTGAGGGAGGCTGCCCCGTAGCCCTGTACCCGTAGCATGCTCTGTGGGACATCACTTGGCATGACCTGCCAACCATTTCCAACCTCCAGGTACCGCAAAAGCACCCAAGAATCGTCGCTCTGCTGCGACAAGAGCAACAGAGCTGGAACACCTCGTAGACGCTCTTGGAGGACGTGCTCTTTGAGAGACTGAGGGCTCTCCTGGAAGTCCACTCTCTGCAGCATACAGTGGTAGTGAACAGCCATGTAACGGAGGCAGGCTTCAGCCAGATCCCACTGGCCATGGAGCTGCGACACGTCCAGGAGGTCCAGGCAAGTGTCCTCTGACAATGAGGACTGCAAGAAAGACAACAGACCCTGGACCTGCAAATAACAGGCAGCTTCCACCAATGCCTGCATAGGGCCTTGTGACAGGGCTTCCTGGACAAAGCTTGGCTCATCTTGGCCTGATGGACACTCGTCGGTAAGTGCTTTAGGGCCACACTTTTTTTCTTCCACAGGGCTGCATGGCTGCACTGGTCCCCCCGTGATGTGACGCAGGACGCCCTCAAGGCCCTCATGGGTAAGTCCATGCAAAGTCACCACTTCATCGGTACTCTCCCTCATCCCTGAGCGGAAAAGAGCTTGGAAGAAGCCACTTTGAGCCACCAGCTGGTCGCGGGGGACAAGGTAACATCTGGATCCCAGGAGGATCTGCACCGTTTGCACCGAGGACATCCCACCTACCTCTTCTTGTGGAGGACATCACACACCTGCTCCAAAAAAAGAAAAAGTCAGGTCAAGTATGAAAGATGAGTCCATCCAAAGCTGTCTCCTTTCTATCCTCTGGGGGCACTATTAACGAGACCTCTGATCTGGGCACCCGCTGTGCCTATCATGAGAGGTTTCCGCCATGCCTGCACTAAGTTCCCAGGTCTGCACACCTACTGTGCTGTAGATAGATTAAGCTGCTAATCCATCAAGGCGACATTTTTTTCTATAATCATTTGTTTTACTAAAACTTTGCTGTGACATCATCATCATCCTGAAAGATGATGAAGCTACTCCCATGGAACCCATGGAGTTGTCCCTCTTTTCATCTGATACGGAGTACCAACCAACCTACGCTAAACCTGACATCCAGCCTCTAAATCATTCCATATTGAAAAGTCAGCATTATTAAAAAATGAATGAAGTACTTGCGGGTTTAACCAGTATTGTGCATTCATTCTTTGTGGTGCAGGTAACTGGGCACACAGAAGGGGTGTGTGTCCTTTAAGTACATACTTTGTACTACAATGTGTTCCTCTTTCCCATCTCAGAAATATGGGAGGCAAGCTACACCATAACCTACCTTTAAATCAGGAGTCTCAAACTCAATTGAGTCGGGGGCCACTGGACACATTTTTTAGTCCCGTGGGGGCCGCTACTATTTATACGGTACCCGTTTTAATCCGTCCATCTCCTGCTCTATAACTCAGGCCAGGTGCACACTTGTGCAATCTCGGAAAGCGCGCCCCAGGACCGCACGATCGTGTGCGGTTGCCGCGTGGCCCCGTTGATTTTAATGGGGTTTTATCCGGGCAGCAATCACTGAAAAAAGTTACATGTACATTTTTTTTCGCCACACACATCCTGCGGTTTTTCCAGCCGTGATAGTGCACGATTGCATGGGCGGAATCACGCAATCTGCCTGACGCGACTGGGGTGCCATTAGAAAAGACTGGTACCGCCAGCGCGATCAGCGATGGTGTGCGATTCCGTGACGATGCACTTCGTGCACGATTGCTGCGTGGTCACGGATTGCCCAAGTGTGAACCTGGCCTTACTGGTCTGTGAGTGCGTACAGACCAAAGGCACCACTGCAATAGGTGCTACAATGGGTGATACACATTATAACAATGTCACTCCCAGCTATGAATTACACCTAGTGCAGCTGAAGCTAGAAAACCTAAACAGAGAAATCTAGTTTATAATTTTATAACAACATCATATTTACATGTGTGAACATAGCTAAAAGTGCACATTCCCACCTGATTTAAATATTATTAATATTGTTATTTCATATTATTATTAATAATAATATTATTATTAATAATAATATTATTATTGCATAACTTCCTTTTATACTGTTCTCTGTTTGTTGCCATTTTAGGCATTGTTGTAACAATTCACAGTAAGGATTTACTGTAACTATGTCCTGCAAAATATCTGCCCCCATAGCACAAAGTTCATTGTACAAGAAATCCTGTGGGTTAGTTCACACCAGAAACTGCATCACAACTGCATGCGTCTACGCAGTTGCATTGCGATCCGCTTTGATGTGTTTTGACGCGTTTGTGAAGCGTTTTTTTCCCCTGGGTGATGCCACCATCAATTCTGTTTTTTTGTTTTGTATGCATTCTGTTTCAGTGCGTTTTGATGCATTTCGTGCAATTAGATGCAGGTAAAATAAGGACAAGCAGTACTTTTTCTGACTGCATCTGAACGGACTGCAATGGTGCGAATTAAGCACAAGAAAGCCCATAGGAAAGCATTGTGATGTAGTTTGACTGCATCTGGTGTGAACTGGCCCTGAAGGTTTTCCTAAATTCTCTGTAGAAGGTTATAAGAGCTCAGAACCCATCCCATGAATGCTTGTGGAGTCACGCTGACTGAACTGCTTTGTGAGAAGGATCCTTCCCATTTCAGGAACAGCTATTGAATGCACCATCAGTATAGATCCTCCCCCATGAAGATTACAAGCGCCAGGTCGGCTTGTAACGTGCAGTTCCTCTGCAGCTGAAAGGAGAGAAATGAAGATGACAGTACGTACCCTCTCTGTACACTGTATACACAGAGGCCTCCTTATTCCCGCTTCATCTGTGCAGAGCAAATCCCAGCAATTCACTTCCTGAAGACTGCAGTGCAGAGCCAACCCACTGCCTCCTCCCCATACTGACACACAACTGAGAACCCAACCCACTGCCTCCTCCCCATACTGACAGCGAACTGAGAACCCAACCCACTGCCTCCTCCCCATACTGACAGCGAACTGAGAACCCAACCCACTGCCTCCTCCCCATACTGACAGCGAACTGAGAACCCAACCCACTGCCTCCTCCCCATACTGACAGCGAACTGAGAACCCAACCCACTGCCTCCTCCCCATACTGACAGCGAACTGAGAACCCAACCCACTGCCTCCTCCCCATACTGACAGCGAACTGAGAACCCAACCCACTGCCTCCTCCCCATACTGACAGCGAACTGAGAACCCAACCCACTGCCTCCTCCCCATACTGACAGCGAACTGAGAACCCAACCCACTGCCTCCTCCCCATACTGACAGCGAACTGAGAACCCAACCCACTGCCTCCTCCCCATACTGACAGCGAACTGAGAACCCAACCCACTGCCTCCTCCCCATACTGACAGCGAACTGAGAACCCAACCCACTGCCTCCTCCCCATACTGACAGCGAACTGAGAACCCAACCCACTGCCTCCTCCCCATACTGACAGCGAACTGAGAACCCAACCCACTGCCTCCTCCCCATACTGACAGCGAACTGAGAACCCAACCCACTGCCTCCTCCCCATACTGACAGCGAACTGAGAACCCAACCCACTGCCTCCTCCCCATACTGACAGCGAACTGAGAACCCAACCCACTGCCTCCTCCCCATACTGACAGCGAACTGAGAACCCAACCCACTGCCTCCTCCCCATACTGACAGCGAACTGAGAACCCAACCCACTGCCTCCTCCCCATACTGACAGCGAACTGAGAACCCAACCCACTGCCTCCTCCCCATACTGACAGCGAACTGAGAACCCAACCCACTGCCTCCTCCCCATACTGACAGCGAACTGAGAACCCAACCCACTGCCTCCTCCCCATACTGACAGCGAACTGAGAACCCAACCCACTGCCTCCTCCCCATACTGACAGCGAACTGAGAACCCAACCCACTGCCTCCTCCCCATACTGACAGCGAACTGAGAACCCAACCCACTGCCTCCTCCCCATACTGACAGCGAACTGAGAACCCAACCCACTGCCTCCTCCCCATACTGACAGCGAACTGAGAACCCAACCCACTGCCTCCTCCCCATACTGACAGCGAACTGAGAACCCAACCCACTGCCTCCTCCCCATACTGACACCGAACTGAGAACCCAACCCACTGCATCCTCCCCATACTGACACAAAAGTGAGAACCCAACTCACTGCCTCCTCCCCACACTGACACCGAACTGAGAACCCAA